TCGGTGTAGCTTGTGCAGGTCTTCACTGGGCCCTTATCCTGTGAGATTTCTTCAACCAGTTTATTATATTGTCTTGTCACATGATCAAATAGACTTGACTGTAGACAGCATCAACATACTGTACATATTACCCAGTAATCATCATTGCATATCTGTTTTTTCATTGCATATTGAGTTTTTTATAGTTTATTTATAATTTATGGAGAGAGTGTAAGCCCATTTTTGTTTTAAATTGCAAATTCAACCAAAAAAAAGAAAACCATGATTGCCTTTTCGAGGGCAAATGGCACCATTTCTAATTCAATGTGAAAACACAAACTTATTTCTGAGGTGGCAATCTGAAAGGGCCTCTTCAGTGCCTATGAACCCCCACCATCACCATCATCACCACCTCACGGGCCCCGGTGCAACTACACTGCTTATATTTACACCCCTAGCTTTCATGCTAGATTTCCATCCACCCACAAGCCTTTAGCTTGGTGACTGAATTAAAACATGTATATAACACTTCAGTGATATTTTAGATCAGTATATACAGCAGATTTGGATGCTTCACAGGAGGAGTCATACTTAACTCACAATTACATTATAATATAACAATTATAATAAGCTATTTAAAGTGTCAATATGGTGCTTATAAATGCAAAATAGGTGGCTTTAGTGTTCATAGTTTCATTACAGTCTATGTGACTGTAATGAATGCTACACCTGTACTGACACATTGGTACTTTGCAGACCGAGTACTATGGGACAACCACACCTTCCTACTGGTTTTGTGGACTGTAGACTGGACTTGGGGTATTAATGTTCATCATAAGAACACATTGTTTTATCACACAATCAGTGTGCAAAAGCTACACAGGTAATAGAAATAGATTCAAGAGCACACACACTGATGGTTATAGTGCAGCAAACACACATTAATATCATTCAGTAATAACAGATTTCTGTTTGCTTCATGCTGTGCGCTGAGCTGAGTGTCAGGCATGCTTCATTTTTTATCACTGTGGAATATCTCTACACACTAAATGCATGTGTGCACGTTGGTCAGTGTGTGTGTGACCCAGCTGCTGCTGAGCTGCCCTCCCCTATTCTCCAAGGACGTTCAGCCAAGAGTCAACCCCTGTCTCTTAATGTCTCTCTGCCTCTCTCACTTTGTGCATGTTGTCAGATGCCCTCTCTCTCTCTCTTCTCCCTTATGCTGCTTTATCATTCACTTCTCTCTGTCTCTTTTACCACATGTCTGTGCCACTGTTGTAGGTCAGTCTGTCTTCTCCTCTGTCTATTACTGTCTTACTCTGTCTCTTTCTCTCCCTTTTTGTGCCTCTCTCCCTGTTATCTCTCATACATCACTGTTTTTCTGTGTACCTCAGTGCTCCTCAATAACTAGCTGAGAGCATTTGGGATTTTTACAGTAGAGCGCTTTATTATCAACTTCTAATCTACCCTTATTTCCAGGGCTGGGCTGCCACCTTGTGGCTGTAGAGAGAACATAAATAATTTTTGTGTGAAATAATGCCCAAAAATATTCACTGTTTACTTGAAAGTGACAACACACAGATATCAGTCTTATGGAAGGAGAATTAGTAGCTGTACAGTACAAATGCAGTGTTAAACAAGAGCCAGGATGTCATGTTCACCCTGGAAGCTCAGTGTTTTAAAGTCATCAAGTTAATTTACTCAAAAAGGAGTTACTTCTACTTCACCTGAGTACATCTATTTCATGTACCTTATACCTCTACTTCACCACACTTCAGACAGAAATGTTGTACTCTTTAATCCACTACATTTATCTGGCAGCTCATACAGAACATATAGTGAACATATAAAACATAATTTATTGCTGTTGAGGAAATTACTCAACAGTTTATAAATGAAGCCCCTCCTTGACCAACTACAGCAATAAAATGTTGCTTAAACATTAATGTATTAACAAAAAATCCAAAAATAATCCAACATAGTTACTTTGCCATTTTTATGCATTATGAATACTTATTAACATTTTTGTATCTGCATGTTTGTTCAGACCATCACCATATGTAAAGTTGGACAACACGCCAGCACTCCAACAGTGAAGCCAAAACACCTGTATCACCCTCTGGTGGCTGACTGCA